TGAGGTAAGATATTTTTAAAAAGCTCACTCTTTCACCACTGTTGTATAAATATGTTCTTGTTTGCAAAGTAACTCAATGTATTTCGAAGTGCTCTCCACACTTATGATTTTATTTTTCCAGGGGGACTGGGTTCCAGATGTGGACATGGGGTACCATGCTGGAGTTAAGTTTCTAGAACTGGTCTCTCCTGTACACAGTGGAGAACTTGGTCCTGACCTAGCCCTGCACATTTTAAGTTCAACATCTGCAGAACAGAACCAGATGGCTTTTAGGTTGTAATGACTTTATTACAGTAATATTTACCAGACTACAGGAGCCAGATGAGATTGCTTATCCTCTGAAGTATCCTCTACAGATACTGCACTCTACATTGCTGTTATTGCACTTCTGGTTAGATAATTAAACTGTATTTAGTTGCCTTGTACATGTGTAATGACAATAAAGTTGAATCTAAGTTTCTGGCTTTTCACAATAAAAGGAGATGAAGCAGAATTAACAAACCAAGCAGTGAACATCTTAAATGTTTATTGCAAAGTAGTGGAACCGGTCTTGTTTAGTCTGTTGGGTCTAAACGAGCACCAAAGTCAAAAGTTAATGTAGCGTACGTCACATGCCTGGACACTTAAACAGTTATGAAGACCTTTCCAGTCATGCAGCATGAATTGCAATGGCTGGAGAGGTCTTCATAACTGTCTAAGTGTCCAGGCACATGCCCTGTAACACAGCATGTGGAAGATGGGAGGTGCTCCCCTTTAAAAGGACTGGTGGGATCCCAAAATCTGGCAGCTGTGATGGTGTGGCTGCAAGAGAAAAGGTTGTCAATAAAAAAAAAAAGCACCAAAGTCAAAACTTAATGTAGCGTACCTCACATGCTGTGTCACATGCCTGGACACTTAGACAGTTATGAAGACCTTTCCAGTCATGCAGCATGAATTGCAATGGAGCTGCATGGCTGGAGAGGTCTTCATAACTGTCTAAGTGTCCAGGCACATGCCCTGTAACACAGCATGTGGAAGATGGGAGGTGCTCCCCTTTAAAAGGACTGGTGGGATCCCAAAATCTGGCAGCTGTGATGGTGTGGCTGCAAGAGAAAAGGTTGTCAATAAAAAAAAAAATTAAACCCTTATTTGATTAACAGAGTTGAAAAAAAACTTGCCTGTCTTAATGTGTCAAGAATCCTGTACAATTCTCGATGCTCCTCATGATCAGTCATTCCATGGCCAGACACACTGCTTGCCTAAGGGGGGGAAACGGCAAAAGCTTGAAGTTCAAGCATGACATACTCAACTCACATTTTGGATTTCACAAGTTGTTTCATTTTGAACAAAGTGTTGATACCTTTTACTTTTACTAAAGTGAGTAAACCTTAGTATACTGAGTGGACACTGCAACATTCCAAGTTTTCTATTAAGACAATACATTGACCATTTAATATACAACTATGCAATTCAGTGCAATATTCACCTCAACATCTGTGTCTGAGGCTCAAAATGAACTTGTCTGGATGTCAAGATCTGCTACATTACTGATCTGTAGTGCGAGCCTGTTAGGTTTTGCGTTATCCTCTTCACTTGGTCAAGTGGCTCAAGTTCTGGACTCGATGTACTCAGCACTGCATTCAACAAACACATTGTGCAATGAATAGTATACATGACCTGTGTTGAATGCCTTTTTTTCAAATTTAGTGAAATTAACTTGCCTTTCACCACAATAAGCAATACTGTCATGAAACATCTCTTGAATAGTGGTTGTCAAACAGGACAGGTAGGCAAAACAGGAAGAGAAACAAGAACTGAATAGTGTGTACTACAAAGCACGGTTAGTCCTACTGTTGGATTAACTTGCCTTTCACCACAATAAACAATACTGTCATGAAACATCTCGAATAGTGGTTGTCAAACAGGGCAGGTAGGCAAAACAGGAAGAGAAACAAGAACTGAATATTGTGTACTACAAAGCACGGTTAGTCCTACTGTTGTGCCTATTGCCAAAATACAGCAAGTAAAATGATTTAACCATTATTTGTCCCAATGGAGAGGGGTGTTAAGCCAAGCCATCAGACATTTTCAGGGCCCCGCAGCAACACCTTTTCCAATCCTATCCCCATCCAAGCAATAAGCAGATATGTGGCTTGACACACAGCATCTGCATTGTATTTGCTCCAGTTGAACAGTGGCTGGGCCATCTTGCTTGGTAGGGAGGCCCATCTGAGAGCCATGCCCCCTCCACTATTCAACCCTGACACTGTTCTACCAAGACTGTCAAGCAAAAGAAAAACACCAGTAACAACCCCACTGGGTCAATAACTATTAACAGCAACACCAGCACAAATTGTGTGGGTTTCAGTGAAGTCTACAGGGTCATCAGGTGGTCACCCTCTCGCTAACTTGTGTTTTTGCCGAGCTGTGCCATGACAGAGAAGGCTCAAGTGCTTCCAAGAAACCACAACTCTCTGCCTGTACCCATCCAATCTTCCATCAGTATCTGCTAGCTACTCTGTTGAACCCTTCAATAATTGGCATCTAAATGCTAACTGTTAGCTACATGCAGTCCTAGCATCAAACATTCTGATTAACACAGTCAAACCTCTACTACCTTTTACAGTTAACCAGCGTCTTGATAATCACTAACAAATCAGCAGACTCCTCTTTAACCTCATGTTAGCTTGCTAATGCTAGTAGCATTCAAGTCTGCTGTTAGCTTGCTAATGCTAGTAGGCCTCAAGCCTACAAAGATGGCAGCTGATAGTTTGTCTCAACTTCAATCTAAATGTAGGCTCTATATTACAGAGATGGCAGAAGAGCTGAACAAATAAGTAAAAGTGCACGTACCTCCCTAAAGTACTCTACTACAAGAAGACATCTGCGTCAAAGAGCAATGACTTCTAAACACTACTGAACTTTATTGAAAACAGGATGGTGCAAATCTTGCTTGGATATGGTCGACATCTGCCTTACAACATTTCTGCATATAATGCTACCAGTTATCTTGAAGATGTTACTACAGTCATAGCATATTGTCCTAGAAACAGGTTTTAACAATTGCCCTGATTTTTACTGCGAACATACTCGCGCTGGAGGTCTAATTGATACTAACCACACACACACACAGAACCAATTAGTAGTCACATGCCTAGCTTACCTTCAGCTTGAAAAGTTTCTTGCTAGCAGAGGTTTGCTACCATGTTACATTAACATAAATTTATGGCTAATGCTAGATAAACTAGCCCACCTGAACCCGAAAGCATAAATTTGACTGCTTTACCTCAGAATAAGAGCTAAACAGAACGCTGCAACTTAAAATTTTACTATAATTTACTAATGCCACCCACCTGTGTAGCAAGTTTTCAACACCTGCGCCGGAAAAAAATCACGTGAGACCCAACTGCACTCTAATTGGACAGTTTGATTCTGCTCTGTGATTGGGTTATAATTGTCCAATCTTTTCATCATCATCTTCTTCTTCTTTTATTGGCAGTTGGCATACGCTTCTGTGTTCTGTATGTAGATGTTCACAAACAGGTTTAATTATTTTCAGTCTTTGTACAATATTATTTATTTACATATTTTATTGACAGCTTTTCTACACATACTCAAAACATTTTACAGGCTCAAAATCATTGTGACAGCCTATTAGAAATACATTTCAAATTTAATCTGGAGATAAAAACATACCTTTAATAAGATGTAAAGTTGTTAACAATGGGAAAGGTCTTTGTAAAGCTTCAAAAGTTGGCAGTTGGAATTGGAATTATAGTAAATGAAGTTGAAAACTAATGGGTGTAACACTTGCTTATATTAGTTATTTTGATTAATTTGGACATGCAGATAATCTGATGCATGGATTGGACTGTGCTGAATACATTTAACTGTGAGCTATGAATTTTTAAGAGTATACAGCCATGCTAGCAGCTCTATGGGGCTTCTTTAGGCACAGTGCTGATTGGTACTAAATCCTAACATCACCATGCTAACATACTGACAGATAATATTAACATATCGGTGTATATAAAGTGGCAGACTACCCAATCAAAAAACACTGGTGTTAGCCTGACAAAAAAAAAAAAAATCAGAATAATTTATGTACATTGCCAAGGTACAACTGCCACCAACAACACAAAAACATATAGCTCACTATTTGTCACTTAACGTCCAAATGAATCCAGTCAAGGATGTGATAAAATAAATAAATAAAATATAATAACATGTTCTGAAAACAACATTGTATATACTGCTGTATTGTAACTCACTGAGAGTTCAGCTACTGAAGGGATGAGAAAGAGAGAGAATGATGGAGTAGTGAGAGATTGTCCAGGAGCAATTAGTCTGACCTGATGAAGCAATGACAAACAACTCACATGGAATTAACATCATTCTGGAAAAGTTTCCTCAGCAGAAGGCAGGGATGTCTGTACTGTAAATGTTTTACAAGAGAGAGCAAGAAGGAGAGAGAGGGGCACCATATCTAGGACAGGGATCAGACACTATAGAGTATGTCAGCGAAGGTGTTATTGCTTTAATAGATTTTTTTTTAATCTAACAAGATTACAGGATAGCTTTTTAACCTCCAGGTGTTCCTGAGCTAGTTTAGGTCATCTGAGTCCTCAACATAATCTAGCTCATCCTGAATTCCTCCCACCTTGCTATTAGTCTGCAATGCTCTACTCTGTACCTAGACAATAAAAATGTATTTTTAAAAACTACTGTTGAAAATGCATAAGTTAGTTTGTGTATTCTAATTCCAGGAGTAGTTGGAACAATTTGCTAGAAGAAGTTGGATGACTGAGATAACTGTATTTCCTAAATGAAGTGATAACATAGAAGCTATTCCAATCCTGACAATGACAGTTTCAATGCTGATTACTTTATGAGCTTACATCTTGTTCCTCAGTTCTTCTAAATAGGAACTGAACACAGTTCATACAGGTTAACAAAACTGATGTAAATTTAAAAATGGCAGCAAGCAGTATGAAATGAGGTGATACTTTTTTAAATAATTTTGAGTGTTTTAATTACAGTGATAGGCTCATCTGAGCTCCCTTACCCCCTGTGTTAGAGCTGATGCAGCTCTAAAATCATTGATAGATCAGCAGGTTCAGAGACAGGTTAGAAGAGAAAGAATCAGTCTGGCTCATTTAAAAACAATCCACTTATATGTCCAGTCTAGTTTCTACATATACCTGGAATAATTGTCATGGTTTTCTTTGCTGCAGATCCTCAGCCTGAGAGCGGAGCACCAAATGGAGCAAAAAAACTACCTGTTAGAAAACTGGAAAGTCAAAAATTTTAATGCAGTGGAATTTATAATGCTTTCACAAGTCAGGAATGAGACCCTGTATCCTCAAATTAGTCTAGCAATTTACCCAACTTTGCTGTTGCAGTCTGCTCTGTAATGAACCTCAGAAAACACATGATCGTATTAATGTGCTTTTTAAAATTCTTACCTGTTGTGGGGTTTTGTTTCGCCTGGTCCATTTCAGTACTCTGTACCCATGCCTCATGGTAGCTAGCAAGAGAAGAATGTGTGTGAGACACTGAACCCCCCAAGTTGTCCGTGATGGCGGCGCGTATGCACGCAGCGGCCCGGGGCCCTCGGCTCCAAACAAAATTACGTTGTGTCAGTGTTACAATGACAATAAAATAAAGCTTCTTCTTCTTCTTCTTCTCCACATGTCACTAGCCTGCACATCAACACACACATCACTGTTACATGAGGGTACACACACACAATTCCAATTTCAGTATTTCCAATAACATTACCTCTGCACCAAACTGATGATTTATGGCAACATGCTGTATACAAGTTGTACAGTAAGCCTTTGTTCTTTATACAGAAATAATACAGTGAAAACTATAGTGTAGGACTGGTGAACCACTGTTAGCAAAAACTACTTTACAGATTACATACATTGAATGGATGTTGCTGAAAAATGAAAACTGTTCATGAAATTTAACTATCATTATCCAGGGCTTCACTATGCATATTTATTATTTTAATGAATGTAGATCATTTATTGTCTTATTTCTAAATAGCAAATAGTCACTGTGCATTCATCTCTGAGTCAAATGCAGTAGACCATTACAGCTGCCATCACAGCTAGCTTGAGGGCAGTGGCGGTTGTGACTGTAGATCTGCATTGAATGCGCCACACAACCATTTACACACATTCACATGCACTACGCCTTGAGAGGTCAGACACCTTATTTTGATTCATTAATGGTCATTCTCACTGCAGCCAGCAGCTCTTTCTGTCCAGAGGAATATATCGATTGGCTCTGATGACAGCTTAACCTGGCACATGCAGTACTACAGGGGACCAAAAGCCAGTATCATGTGAAAAGCTAACTACAAAATCCCTATCACAATAAAAATCCTGCAAAAGGTATACAATGAAAACAGACTTGTGTGCTGTCCTGTTTTGTCTGTTTCTTGTTCAAATGTATTGAAAAGTATAATGTTTCCCTTTAATTTGTGGCAGAGGATAAAGTAGCACCAAAATTTTAATATTCAAAGTTCACAACTGTACTTAAGCAGATAAAGTTATGGTAATTTTTATTAGATGCAAATATGCCCTTGGCCAGCAGACATGGGAGAATGGTGCATAATGTAGCACATTTGCATCTGCTTTAATAAAGGTCCCTGTCAAGAACATTCTTACATTTTACTTAAGTCCAGTTGAGCACCTGCACCTGGATATGTGTATATCCAGTGCCTTTCAATTATCACAACCATCGGATCTGGAGTGCACAGATTTTTGCCTTGCAATTTGATATGAATAATTTGGTTTTTAGTAAGAACTCTACCTCTAAGTGAATGGCAGTGGAGTGATAAAGTCATGCTTTTATTATAATAAAGTGGATAGGATAGGCACAATCTGCCTTTCCTCACATTTCAAAAGAGAAGGCTCATCTGTAAACGATGAAAGTAACAATGAGACTATGCAAATTCTCAACTCTATCAGTCAGGACTGAAAATATTTCTCAGTACAATGTTTACAGATAGCTTTGCGTTTCATATCACTGCCAGTTATATAACGTTGTTAGGACCTGTTGGCTTGTCCTTTTCTCTTCCTGGATTGAAAAATGTTCAACACACATGTCCATCTGAAACACTGCCCTTGAAAGTTTCCATTCCCCTTCTTCAGGTCAGCTGACTTTCTTTTATTAGCACTTCATTAAAATTCATTAATTGCTTTCGTTCTCTTGGGTCCAAGCAGAAGCAAAACTGGAACTATCAAAAATAGTGAGAGCAAGAGCAACTGTCCTGTGCTCTAGATACACACCCTGTGATGCCAGGCTCCTGCAAGCACATCCACCCATCTGTGTAAAAAAAACAAAAAAAACAAAACAAAACAAAAAACAAAACAAAAACAAGCACATAGAGGACAGCAGAGACACCAGCCAGAGCAATTTAAAGAAGTAGATGTTAAATTTTATTTACTTGTTCTGTACATAAAAGGTCAATACCAGCACAGGTGTTAACCATGGGAAATTTTAACACATGTAAATGGTATAAGAAAATAAAAGGCACAATTTTCGATTCTTAAGAAAAAGACAGGCTTTCCTAGAATGAGGACAGAGCACAGTAATACTGTTAATGCCATTACAAAAGAAGCATGGGAAATGCAAGTTCATCTCAAGAAAGGAAATAATCTGGATGTATTGCTTAATTGGTATATTTCATGAAGAGAATCCACACTGGTTTATTTGCACAGACCAGGAGGGATTAAAATGAGAAACCTTTATTTAAAAGGAAATAAATGACATTAAGCAGCATTTGACCAGGAGGTTTCATTTCTCTGGCCAAGAGGTCATGCACAGAGGCAACCAGCAGGCATTTTCCCTTTTATAAATGTCCCCTTAGGTAATTTAGTTTTATACCACTCACTAACAAAATGCTTTATTTAATAGCTGACTACAAACTGATGAAAAAAGGGATACAACTAAAAGCTGCACAATATTACTGAGTCAATGGCTGAGCAATAATTTGAACAGAGCAGCAGGAAAAGGAAACAAGGAAGTGAAATAGTCCATTTTTTCAATAGTTCGTTCAGCAGAAACACAAAGATCACAACAGCGCCCTACTAATCAAACACAACTGGATGTCGCACAGTACAAAGATGCGTCCCACAACTGTGGGAGCCGCTTTGCATAAGAGACAAAAGCTGTTCACAGATCGAATAGTTCGGGAATTAAGTTATTTTAAATCATCATTAGATCACAACATTAGAAGCGATCGCATGTGCTAAAAGATGAATGTATCTTATGATCTGAGAAAAGCATTAATCTGATTTAATTGGCCTGCTAAGAAATGTCCTCCTTCCCTGATGTATGTCACTGAAAGTGGAGCTTCTCACTTCAGTGGAAAGCCTTCAGCCCCTGTGCACACATGACGACACTGCGTTTAGCTAGCCTTCTGGGCAGATAATTGTAAAAGTGCTGGCCAGGGATTTGACTTTGTTTCTGTTCCTGTTCAAAGCTTAGCAATCCTATGCAATAAAGCTGAAAGATATCACCTAGTGCTTGGTGCTGTTGGCACTACAAATCTGCTAATCTTTAAAACAGGTTGTCATTTTAGTTCAAAATAATGTGAATGACAGTGCAGAGAGGTACCAAGTGGACATGCAAAGTTACCCCTATACTACACATAACAAAAAACAAAAACTATTGTTGATCATGTGGCACAAATAAAAAGATAAAATCATGTATGGCCGTGCCATGTTTTAGTAAGAAAAGATAAATAAGTCTAGTTAGACAGGCTTGTGCCAGGTTGTAGAGTGGATGGGATTGTAGGATATCAAGTTCTGTGCCAGGTTGTAGAGTGGATGAGATTCAGGGATACCAAGTTCTGTCAACCAAGAGCCTCCACAAACCCACTGCCTCCTCCTGATTCCAGTCACACATCAAAAGTCTATCACCCTGAATAACTCCTGGCCAGTAAATGGTGTGTACATGTGTGTGCTTGTGTGATGATTAAGTTGACTTGATTGTTTGGAGAAATAACATTTGACAGGCTGGTGGTTAGCTCCTCATTGCCTCAGTGCTCTCCCTAGTCCATAGGGATCTTGCAATTCCCTGCTCAGTACAAACATCCTCACAACAAAACAAAACACACACCAACATGTTCTAAAGTCCCCAAGACTTCAAACATAGCAAATATTCAAATAAACCTGAAAAAAAGAAAAACCAACAAAATTTTTTTCTGATGTAATGTGGCAATTATCTATTGTGAACACACGCATACACACACACACACACACACGCACACACACACTGATGCCCAGTGATCTGGAAATGAAAAGGACTCTAATGTAAAAACACTGGCCAGTCTGGAACAAATGTGTGGTAAAAGTGGGAGAAGGGGGATCAGGCTTTAGTTGGGATCTGATATCCAAAGGTGTAAACAGTCAGAAAGCCTTGCAATGGTTGGCAACAACAAAGGTCATTAACATGAAACAGCCCCAAGCAGGCAAGCACGTAACCGTAGTGACACTGGCAGGAAAGGTGGACACAGCCAGCAGATTCGTGTATAGGTTGATACCAGTGAGAGGCTCCAGTTGGACTCTTAGGTCAGTCACTCTCATCCGGATTCTGGGGGTCAATGATTTTAACATGGGTGAATGGGAAGAGACCCCTCCGTCCATTCACCTCTCCTTCCCACTGACCACTGATGTTCATCCGTGTAACCTTGACCATGTCACCAACCTGAAGAAAGAAGGACAGGAGGCTGAGTTTCAGGAGGAATAGGACACGTGAGGCACAGTAATATTTCCAACGTCACTCACATGATCACAAGATAGTCTGCTGGATGGCATGGCACTGCTACATTTAGGGCCATGTTTACTGTAACTAAATTACCTTAGAATGTAGCCTAATGAATGTATATACTGTTAATGTGGCCACCATGTGAATGTGATTCAAACTGTCCAAGGTATAAGTTTAAACCACATATAAGTATGACAACTCACTAACAGGCTCTAACAGTTTACACAGATTAGCACACACACAACAACCAACCAAGTCAATATTATAGCCTCTGTTCATGGTCACCTTCTCTCATTTAAAGTGAACATGTAGGCTGTAGTGCACTACACCATTTTCTTTGTAATATTCCAAAAAAAAAAAAAAGGGGGGGGGGGTGGCTTATCGAGTTTAGTTTTCAAAAGTTAAAAGGTTAGTTTGAAATGTAAACTGAAGGTTAACTCTAGCAGAGACTATATTGTTAAAAATTAAAAGTCAACGTTTTTCATAGCCTGGGGAAAAACTAAAATACATTCGCCACTTCGTTAATATTTATTTTAAAACCTGTTCCAAACTACACTAACAAAACATGGGCGCTTCCACATACACTTCCAACTGTTTAACGTAAACATTGTGCATTAGACTGTGATTTAAAAAGATCACGGGAGCACGGAGCTGTCGCTCAGATGGGTCTGTGACACTGAGTGTGACCCCCAGTCTGTAAAAACCATATGTTATCAGGATTAGAAGGGGAAAGTCACCGTCATCAAAAACACAACTGAAGCCTGAAGGAAAAGGCACATTATTTGTAGCTTTAACTTCACAACGAAGCTTCAAGGACACTTCGTTCTAGATATCATCAATAACAATAATCCTTTACGCCTCTGTGGAATGACCGCAAAGTAACTTGCTCAAACAGCTTCTGTGAAATTCATCTGTTAAAAACATATAATTTTTAACAAGTTACTGAAATATCAGTATCACTCACATTCAATA